ATTTAAATAATTCTAAATAAAAACATCCTATTTCTCTAATCATCTAGAATGTGATTGACTATTTCTTAGATCTCAATTAACTTATATATAAAATTTGTCATGATAATTAATAATGATTATTGTATAGAAAATAATAAATTTCTATTATATGAATTTTTTTATTGATTGCCTGTTACAATGAAAAATATCAGAAATATAAATGATGTATTTTATAAATAAATAATCGTTCATTCAGTCCATATTAAACAATTCAATTCATTTAGATAATTAAAATTTTTTTTTAAATTAATTATTTCTAACGATTATCAGTTATTTATTGTTGAGTATTTGATAATGTATTACTAAATAGAAAACATATTTTTATAGATTCATTACAATTAAAATCAAAATATTTTCATGAGAATTCATTTATTTTCTTAATAATAAATATTGTTTATATAGTTTAATTACATAAATATAAAAGATCAAAATATTTTATTTTTACTGATAGATGTTGATATTATTCTTATTAAATCTATATTATTAGAAAAATGAATTATTTTCTAGATCAATGATAAAGTAGTAGATTATTATTAATAATTCATTCTCTGTTAATTTATATTCATTGTTAACTATATTTATTGTTTTAAAAGTTATTAGAATAAATGAAGAAATTTTATTACTATTTGTTGATATAGTTATTTGAATATGTTAACAAAAGAACATCATTTAGAATGTTTATATTGAAGAAAGTTCTTTTGGATAATTAAAATTTTCAAATAAGAAAACTTTTTTTAAAAAAAACAATATCTATCATTTTTCTTATGCAGTTAATTAGAATGATATTCAAAAATCATCTTCATCATCAATCATTTCTTTTGTATACTCTAATTTTTCTTGTTTAAGTTCTCATCATTCTTTAAACAAAAAAAAAACAAAACTAAAATTTCATTTTTTAAAAAGCAAGATATTGTTATTAATAATCTTATATATGTCGTTTCTAATTCTTCATTTTATATATACAGTGTGTTTTTTTTTGTCCATAGGAGTCACTGCAGGAGAAGCATGAACGATTTCCCATATAGCTACTCAATCGATAATTTTGGATTTCGTTGAAAGTCATCCCATTTTGTAGAGCAAAATGTTTTAGGAATACGCCTAAATTTTTAGAGGCAAAGGTTTAGAATTAACTGAAATACGAGGACCCGACTGGAAGCATCCAAAATGGCTTTTTTAAATTTTTGTCATTTTTTCGTCAATCATAAATTTTCGGTATATTCAAGATATCTCTTCACTAGTAGTACTTGATAGAGTTCTGAAAATTTTACCAGATATACATCTTGAGATGGGCAACACAACCATCCAATTCAATAATGTCTATGTTGTCATTAAGTATTACTGAAATTTTTAATAAGAGTCTATTTTCCATCATTTTTGCGGTCAAACTTGAGTTTAGGACTTTTTCCGATCAGTGTGATAGAGTTTGTTCAAATTTTTTTTTCAAAGACTACTAACCTAGTACTACTTGAATATGCAATGAAAACTTTGGGATCTTGAAGTTTGTCCTAAAAAGTCTGATCATAACCTAGTATTTTTTTTTCCTATGTAGTATAGGACAAAGGGAGTTCTAGGTGATTTGGACACAATCAGAAAGCAATATCCGTTTGAGCTGAAACTTTCAGCAATTATAGAAGACAGAATTACTAATCACTCCTACAAGTTTCAGCTTGATCAATAAAAGTTTCATCTTATCTCGATATTCTACTATATAGACACTCTCATAGCCTTTAAGGTTCAGAATAGTCAAAAATATGATTTAATAGGTTTTTGACAGAATTTTCACACAATTTAAAAATCTATTTATATATCATTTCAGAAAGCATTTAATAATGAACAGAATAATATGATTAGCTTTGAATTGAAATCAAATAATGATCATAAAATGTTCAGTATACTCTCTACTTAACATTCTGCATATAAGTCGTTGTATAGGTTTCACGACTTTTTCTGTGCAATCGAAATGTTTAGATTCAGATAAAACTTATTCAATTTTGTAGTAGGAATTGTTTGAAGCATGTAAATAAAATTTTAGACTTCAAGGAAATGTTTTGACCGACAAATGAGAATCTCACTATGCGCATTCATAATAGCTTTTTCTCGATTTTTGACATTTTTGTCAATTATTCATTTGAGATGTTTTTACAATATCTTCACACTAATATATCATAGTGTTCTGAAATTTTTACCAGGCATATATTTTTAAATGAATAATACAACTATTTTATGAAAAGCTTTTAGCATAATCTCTGTGGGATTAAAGTGCGAAAGACGACGGAGCTGTTGACACTTTGAACTGGGAGGGAAACTGAAACGTCGGTTACAGTCTGTGACGGATAGACAGCGTTGCTAAGGGTGTCTGTCACGTCTATGACGGGTCATTACTAAGATGTTTGTGAGGGGGAGTAGAAATTTTTACCACTAAATACTTCAACACTCCTTTTAGGTCGTGTTTCACAAAAATGTCATCTTGAGTTGACTGACTGAGAACGAAGCAGATGAATTTCAAAAACTGTTTCGTTAATGACTGTTATTCTCTTTTAAAACCACATAATCATTATGTTTTTCGTCGGTTTCACATGTTCGATCGAAGATGTATCGTGCACCAGCCATTTCTAGCATAATTCATGGCCTCCATGCATTTGATAACGTGAAACATACGGAAAACATCAAAAATGTAAAAGATCAAACTTGAAGATTAACAGATCGAATTGGACCACATTTTACTGGTTCGAGTTTGGTTCGGTTCGACTGAATGTCTAAAAAAAGGGATGAAGGTTCATTTTTTCAGTTTCGATTTGGGTTCATTCTTTTAAATTCGATTCGAGTTCAATTCAGTTTGGTTCGACTCAATATCCGAAAAATCAGTTCGGTTCAGCTTATATATCCTCTACTCATAACAAAAAAAACCTGAATTGCACTTTATTTCTACATAACTACTATATTTTAAGATCACTCGTCTAATATGTACATGATAACTCATCTTGTAGTACAATAAATACTTCAGCATCTCTCTGAGATTCTATTTAATCTATAGTTTTAACTTTTATTTGTATAGAAATAGCATTGACAAGGTGAGTAATAGAAAACAGAATGAAAACTATACAAAAGGTGATATTTGTACGTGAATTGTCGCATGGGATGCATTATTTTCCAGATAAAAAAATAATCTATTATGTAGAATATATTATAAATAAAAGAACATTCAAAAAAAATTGTTGTCAATAAATTGTTCTTCCATAGTTATTTCTACTTGACTGCATTGTTTCACTAATATCATGGCTTATAAAGATAAATCTAATGTTAGAATTTTAGCACTCAATGTTGCCAATGCAAAACTTATTTATTATTATCCTTATTATATATGAAAAGTTTTAGCCTAAATAAAAGTCTTCTTCTTGAGTTATAAGGTTTCTGATGAAGTCGGATTTTCCTAGTTCCTAATAAAATACATACATTTATTGTCTATTTAATATTTTGATAATGAAACATTCATTGTGACTGAAAGTTTCCATACACAGTGGTATGAATGTCTACACAGATGTTTTCAATATAAATGAACAGAAAAAAAGACTTGCATGACATTGATTAGAAAAATAAATATGTCGATCAATTATGAATAAAAAAAATAAGATAGATTTTCTCATATATCACAGTTTTCAACCTGATATCAACTTCTTTTTATGGAGTGACAAATCTCAAAATTGGCATTAATTTTGAAATCTGCATGTCAAAATTAGTTCAAATTTCAATTCTCGAAAACTTTTAAAATTTCTACATATTGAAAAATTCATAGAAATTTGAACTAGTATATATTTAAAACTAGCTGTTTTTTTTTCGAATCCAGTCATTTCAAACATGGCTAACTAATTAGAAATTAGAAATCTACAGTCATTGTCATTCAAACATATAATGTCTTTTCTGAACTTCCTGGAAAATTCAATTAAGTGTATGTATAAGATATAAGAGATAGAAGATATTAAAGATTCAAAAATATAGGAAAGAATGGGACGGAGACACTAACACAAGACATCTCTCTGACTGAGGGTGCACGAGAAAATACTGGCATAGAGCATCTCTCTGGCTGAGGATGAGAGCAAAAACATTTACTTCTCTGATATTTCCTGTATCTCTAATATCTCTATATCTCAAGTGTCTCCTCTATTTTCTATACATGAACTTAAATAAGTTTTTCGAGGAAATCCATTCAAATCATTTAGTCTTTTCTGATGATGATGATGATTCTGAATTTTTTCCAAAAATGCTTTTCTAATTTCTGCTTTTCTGATTATGATTGGAAATTATATTCAACAGTAAATTTTTGATTTCTGATTTCTGAGTATCTTAGAAATATATAGTATGCATAAATTTCTTATTTCTAATCATGTCTCACAAATATGTAATATGAATAAATTTCTGATTGCTACAAAAATAAAACAAAAAAAAACAAACTAGAAATCACCAATCAAAGATTTAGTAAAAACTGGTAATCATTTGAGATTTATCATGATCTCTAGATAGAGCCATTAAATTTGCATGCAAAAACACCTTTTTATATATTTTATAGTTTACTGTCTTAAAGAGAATAGTCAAAAACAGTTTAGATTATAAAAATTGGACATAGGTAATAATTGATTTACTTCTCAGAACTAAATTTTTGAATTTTGAAACAGTGACATTCGTAATCAACACATTCTATTTAATAGTCGTTGTTACTTTTAAAAACAAAATTTTTTCATAATCCTAATGATGAGAAGAGTTATAAAGAGATCTAAAACCTCAAAGTCATTTCAAACGACATGATTATGTCCGATATATAGGTCATATTAAACTTCTTATTCTGTTATATTTATTTCTTTCTTGTAAATATTTTTAGTCGTAAGCCCCCCTTAACGACAAATTTTATTTTATGAGAAAAAAAAAAAAAAAAAAAAAAAAAATATATATATATATATATGCATATTTCAACAATCACTATATATGTCATGTTTAATATAAAATTTATCATCAATAGATTCATTAGTATCACTGACATACAATCGTTTCACTTTTAACCAACAATTTACAATATTATCATCAAGTTTTGGTATAGTACATCGAATAAATATAATTATATAGCCAGTTAATATGAGACTAATTTCTAATATCATAATTATTACGATATCACTTGTAAAATTTATACAGAAAATTACTATTGATGTGATGCACATTATTATGAATGGAGCTATTGGAAGACCATAAAGTACAAATGGTAATAACGTATCATAGAATGTTGATAATATAGCAACAAATTTTCCAAATTCTATAGAATAATGATAGTTTTCACATAATTTAATTTTTGAAAATTGTTCAAATATCGGATAGTGAATTATTTCTTCAGGATAGGTCATATTAATATATTGATATATTGAAGATTTATTTGAATTAAATCCATCAAATTGAACATTGATCTTATGTTTTTCTTCTGTACGACTGATATGAATACCGATAGATAAAACAGCCAACACCAAAAATATTGTGTTGATATAAGCAAAAATCAAATATGTACGTATTGTAAATGATTTAGTCATATTCGATTATTGATGTGAACTAGTCCAAATATAAATATGCTTGAGAATGAAATACTATAAGCTACAATGACAATTATATATATATATATATATATATATAAAGAAAACACAATGACTATTATATACATAAAGACAATATAATGACTATTATATACAT